TTCCCCTCAGGGCAGCTTGTCCCTGCTCCTCATCTCTTCTCTTCGCTTTCGGGTGACGTTTTGCAGAGCTTTGCCGTCCGCCTGTAGCGGCGAAATTCGGTTGTTTTCAGCGTTTGAACATAAAATAAAGGCGCCAAGCAAATAAAGGGGAATTGTAATAGAGTCACAGAAGGGGATGGGGTTGGGAGGTCATCTGGTGGAACACCCCCCCCCCGCCACACACCCAACAGCGCGCAGGGGCCGTTTTAACTTGATCAGGTTAAATTACTTGCATCAACTTTTAGTTGGAGTGCCCGGTATTTAGGAATAAAATCCATCTGAGGAACAGAAGCCTGCCCTGAACAGTCATGTTCTCCCATATGTCTCTGGTTCTGTGCACTGACTAGTGTTGGTCAAGTGATCCAACGGAAACAAGCAACTAATCAAAGTCTAAAGTACATTCAAATCAATAAAATTGCACTGGCACAACCAAAGCCTGAAGCCTGGCAGTTGCAACTGTCCAGCCCTTTGGAACCAGAGACTGAAATACTAACACATTTATGGCAAAACTCAGCAGGGTTCTGGAAGAGCCTTCAAGTGCCACGGAGGCAGCACGGAGGGGAGGAATGTGACAGCAGCAGCACAGCAGCTCTTCAGTCACCTAACCAGGAAAAAAAGCACTTGAGCATGAAATGATTGTGCACATAGCAACGTTGCCTCTGATGGCCAAATTTCTAGTTACTGGAAACCTTTAATTATAGAGGTACACAGAGTGAGTGACATAAAGATTAGGACAATTGCCAATCCATATGCAGATGTGGGACAGGCTGTTTTTTTCTAAGCAGTATAAAGAGGGGGTGGGAAAAACAACAAAAAAAACCCCAAACCCAACAAACATTTAGGAGATTTGGCAAGCAAGAGAGTAGAGTAAACAGAAGATGTAAAAGTAATTGGGATATTGGGAAATACCAGTAACAAACGAGGTTTGTTAGGGATATAATGAAAGCTCAACTTGAGCAGAACAACTTTTTCATGGTTATTGACCATTGCAGATAGAATATTCTGGACAGAAAGAAACTCATTTTCAGTGCAGCAGAATGACAAGAAAGCACCGTGTCACTGTTTGCCACGGAGTAGGATACATTATGTTTAGATCCCTGCCCAAGTGTGGAACCAGATGAAGCAACCAGACCCTGAGGACTGCACCCAGCAGCAGCCCCTGCATTCCCAGCGTGCAGGAGCTGGGAGTTGCCTGGGTGAGAAAGCTGAATCGTCTCTTCCAGAAATACAGACCAGCCAAAACAGCTATGAAGGGCACCTGAGTGTGGTGTTGGAGCTGTTCTCAGTCTCACAAGAGGAGCAGGAACTCAACTCCAGCCTTGCCACACCGGCAGGTTTTGTACCAAAACTGCCAGCCTGTCAGGACAGCGCGTTGCTTTGGAACAGGAGTGTTGTGTGTAGCCACAAGTTACTCACTTTTACTGGCTACACACTTCCAAAGAGGGTCTCTGATTCCTTCATGCTATGTTGAGCACTGGCTGACTTGACATGCCGCACTCCAGGCAGGGCTGACACAGCCACAACAGAGCTAAGGATACAGAACTGGAACTCCACATTCTCCAACCAAAATACCATCTGTTGGTGTGTATTCTTAACCATGTTCATGTTATGGCTTACAAAGGACTGTGGCAGCTTTTTAGTGATGATATAGAAATTACCTTCATCAACCCCAAATTAAAAAAAACCTTAGCCAACACTTGGCCCTGCTGTTTTCATCACAGATATGATCAGTTACATGGCCTAAAGACCCTATTTTGTTCAAATCAAATACATATTGGTTAATGTACCATTTTCCAAGGTAATGTCTTTTTTAAATCTCTTTTCTTTAGCAAAGGCAATTTGAAAAAAAATAAAATCAAACCAACGACCAGTTTTTAAAGCCTTTACACTGCAGCAGGATCCTTCTACCTGCAGGCCAAGTGTACTTGGACTAGAAGCCTGACCTTGGATGTCTCCAGGGATGGGGCCTCCACCACCTCTCTAGGCAACCTGTTCCATGATCCACCACCCCCACAGTTAAGAACTTTTGCCTCATGTCCAACCTAAACCTACCCTTTTCCAGCTTAAACCCATCACCCCTTGTCCGGTTGCTACACGGCCTGAGAACACCCCTTCTCCAGCGTTCCTATAGGCCTTTTTCAGGCATTGGAAGGTCGCTAGAAGCTCCCCCACAGCTCCTTGCTTCAATAAATGCAGAGCAGGGATTTTTTTCATCATTATTATTATTTTTAGTAGGGAGACTTAGGCAGGTGCGGGGCTGCAGCGGCTCCAAGGGGGGCACCGCGCTGTGGCCTCCGGGGGCCGTTCCCGCGCCGGTTCCCAGCCCCGCTCTGCAGCCGGGGCTGCTCTCGGCACCGGGAACGCCCCGTCCCGGCCGCCTCCATCCCCATTCCCATTCCCATTCCCATTCCCATTCCCATCCCCATCCCGTCCCGCCGCCCCCG